GTAAGGGCAAGGCTAAAACAGCTATTGAAGGTTGCGTCATGATGGAGGCATCCTCTGGCTATAAAAGAGCAAGGGAGATTTTAAAACGTTTCTTCGGACAGCCTCACGTAATTGCTCGAGAAACACTAGAGGACTTATTCAGTGCTGTGAATTTTGAAAATATTGACGGGGACCAACTATTAAACTTGGTTATTAAAATGGAAAACTGTGCCATGGTCTTGAAACAGATGAATTATACTTCTGATCTAAATTCCTTAGTTACCTTGGAAAGAATAGTGAGACTCTTGCCTCAACCTATGCAAGCCCAGTGGGCGGACTGGGTGGATAAATTGACTGAAGATAACAGAGAACCGACCTTCGACGAGCTCACTCAGTTTATCGCATCGCGTGCGAGAGTGGCTTGTAGTAGATTTGGACGGTTAGCAAACCGTTCTAGAAAAGGACATAACGTAAAGACGAACTGTCACGTGCAATCAGAGCAAGGGAATAGTTTGACAATGAAAACTAAATGTAGTATGTGTTCCTACGACCATGCCATTGATAAATGTCCACAGTTCTTAGCGCTTACAGTGCAAGACCGATGGTCTCACGCTAAAAGCAAGGGTATCTGTTTCGTCTGTCTTAGACAAGGACATAAGGTTAATGAATGTAAGATGACAAGGCTCTGTAAGGTTGACAGTTGCGAGAGGAGACATCACGCTCTGCTGCACACTGACTCGACAAGCAACGTCGTAAATGATAAGCCATCATGCCCGGAATATAGGAAAAGAGTTGTTAATCATACCAGTAAGATACAGACATTAGAGAACGAAATACGTAAGCCTTATGACGTAGAGTTTTCAGATGCTTATTCAAGTGATAAATCATTATCAGTAGACGACAAGATGGCTATAAAGATTGTGGAAGGTGGCACGCGCTTCGGCAACGGTCATTTTGTAGTTTCTATACCTTGGAAAAAGAATCCAGATATGAAAGTGAATAATTATGAAGTACCAAACCGTAGATTACAAAGTTTGAAGGGTATGTTGTCGAGGGATGTCAGTCTGCACATCAAGTATATCAAAAGTACTGAAAGTGATTTTACTAAGACTTATGCGGAGAGGGTCTTTGAAATATATCTGCAGTCTTATTATCATCCTCGATGGTATTTACCTCATCGTGCAGTATTAAACATGAAAAAACCAGATTTTAGAGTGGTCCTTGATTGTGCCGCCCAGATTGCAGGGGTTCCCCGAAATGATATGATTTATCAAGAACCCGATACCACCGCTGAGTTAATGTGTATATTATTAGGTTTTCGCAAGGAGGCAGTTGCAATCCCTGCAGATGTTGAAGAAATGTTCATGCAAGTGAATGTCCCTGAGTCTGATCGAAGAGCTTCAAGATTTCTGTGGTGGCAGGAGGGGGACATGTCGAGAGAACCGTCTGAGTTTCAAATGACAACTCATGCATTTGGTGCCACATCATCGCCCTTTCGTGCGAACCTTGCCTTGAATAAGACGGCCCAAATATTCTCTGACGATTATGATAGTTATGTCGTAGATACTGTCAAGAATAATTTCTATGTTGATGATTGCTTGATATCTATTCCCACTTGTGATCAGGCAAAGAGTTGCGTTAAGCATATAAGTGGATTATTATGTAGAGGAAGTATACAAGAAATGACCGATCTTGAATCATGGTTCAAATGTCCTACTCTATTGCATGGCGAATTTTATATAACAATCACTGACTGTCCGGAACCTACTCTTGACGATATTGAGTTTAGAAAAACTGCTGTGGTTAACTTGAGTAGTATAAAGTACAACAAGACACCTGTTCTCTTTTATTATTCCGAGTGGTTGAAATTAGTCAGAGCTGTAACCTGGTTTAAAAGGTTTATCGAATTCCTGATGGTACTTCGTTTGCCGAGTTGTGAAGGATCCGTTCATCTAGGATGTTTAAAGGTCAAAGAGCTTGAGATTGTCAAGCGTAAGATTTTATTGATGGTTCAGAGAGAAGTGTATGGAGAATTACTTAGTGAATTTAAGAACAGCAGTAAAGTAGTAAGCCATGATGATCTGAAAGGTTTATCGTTGATGATGCTTGATGGGTTACTCTGCGTTGGAGGTCGACTAAGATACTCAGATTTCTCAGATGCTTTTAAACATCCAGTAATTTTACCCAGTCGACACTTAGTGACGGAAATGATAGTTAGACATTGTCATAAAGAACAAGGACGCATAGGAAGATCATTAGAAAAAGGGTATGGATATGTGTTTACTTGTTTGCAAACATGGGCAGTACATATTGAAATGATGTGTAATTTGATTACTGATTCATTTTTAATGGCTCTATTACGTTTTATTGGAAGAAGAAGGAAACCTCCAGAGATTTACAGTGTCAGTGCGTCAAGTTTCGTGGGGACAGTTTCTGAGTTAAGCAAGTTTGTGCAGCAGTCGAATCAGAAGATAAACATTGAATTGTCAGCGAGGCCCTCATCCAACAGCATGGGTGGAGTTTGGGGAAGAGTTATTAGGCCTATATCACGACTGTTATTGTTGATCACCAGAGAACAGGTGAAGCAGGTCTCCTTGAAGCTTTGGATTAGTCTTTGTTGTTATTAATGTAGTTAGGTCGAGTAGGCGTACTGTTGTAAGTCCTACTTGTTCCTATGGTGTGATATGTTATATAATGAACCATGACCGTAGGCGTCAAGGTAGCTTGTGTGGTATGGAGGGATTTTGGGGGCCGGTGTAAGATCCATTTTGAAGGTTTTATGTGTTGGTGAAAATCCCTCCATGTATATACTTGTACTTTATTCCTATTGATCGCATTAGTTGTACATTGTTGTATTTTGATTACATTTGAATTGTTAATATTTGTATTTTTGTTATAGTTTTTGTTTTTATTACGCATTCACTAAGTTTGTGTTTCTTCCTGAACTGCATCTGCGTTGTTTTACTTGACACTTGTTCTTGGCGGTAGCCATATTGATTTGTTCCTCCTGTTGTGTGTGATCTATCCAGCCAGGATAGAATAACGTTGATTTGTTGTGATTGGTAATTTTTCCTCATCTTCTATCAACTTCTTTATTTATTGTAATTTAGATTTAATTGATTGAACAATCATTGGTTGAATAGCCGGGTGATAATATTTGTTTAGGTAATGATTTACATTAAATTTATTATGAATTATAGAACCGCTATCTTACCCAATTACCTTGTTCTGATTTCAAACGGGCAAGGGCGCGTATCCAACTTATCCAAGCAGCTGTCCAGCAGTCCAAACGTGGTTTGGATCCTATACTTATATCTGTCGACATTAGAAGCATACACCACAATAGTATGTCATATTGTGAAATTATGGTCTAATTCGGTATTAGTACATCAATCATAGTTACCATTACAATCGGCCTAATCACAAAATTGTCGAGTTGTCATGACGTGACTACCTAATCTATGAGATCTTACGTGAAAGCCACATCATCTTCTGTTTTGACTCGTTGTATCGTAAGAATCAGCAATACAAAGTTCAGCACCTCTGAAGAACACATTTGAGCTGGGTATAGAATAATGTATTTTAATGTAAACATGGATTTGTTTCAAGGATGGCTACGCCTACAAGTCTGAGCCATGTTATACGATCACTTGTTCGCTCACTCACCATCATGAACTTTTCCAGGGTGTTACATGTCGAATGTAAATATTTTCAGGAGTTATATGCTCCGCTTGAAAGATCATGCTGTTAAAGACCAATACTTCTACACTACTCTCCCATCAGAATTTACGTAATGTTGGCTCGATACCAAATCGAGCGGGATTGTCGCACACAAGAAGTCGACAGCAACGCACAGGATATGCACTAGTTCACCCCACTTTACTTACAACTGAAATTCCATACGATGTCCACAAAATTACTAATGCCACAGCGCAGCCGAAAGTAGTAGGACAGACCAAGAAATGAAAGTGAGCTTTCGTTCATGAGATGTGGATAAAGTTCAATAAAGTCTATGGTCATGAAAATGTGTCCATACTTCAAGTAAAAAGCTACAATTGGAGCCTCTCGTACGCTACATTGTCTAAGAATAGTGTTACCAAACTCTAATATATTGGTAATGAAACCTAATTAACAGAAACTATATATCACGTCGAATCCACCATAGTAAGTACTCTAGTCTCTGTGAGGCTAATGAATCATCTCACTGATGGTTATTATTAAGTCTAAAAAATGGCTAAGTGATTTGACTGTTTTTACCCTAAATTGGATGGAAAACAATTATATCCCCCACATGTTCTTTCATCTCTGACGCAAAAGTGGAACAGAGCCTCACTTGTTTGTGCCCAGAGGAATTCTTGTCACTTTCATATCCACTCTTTATACGCTTATCAGTGTATATGTACATACAAAAGCTCTACATCAATAAGATTCTCTCATAAAAATTCGTAGCGTGAGGTCGAGTCGCGGTAGAATATGAACACCTCTACGAAAAAGCACGTGCCAAAATATCCATAAAATCCCCCGGAAGCCAAATATCAGAAGGCAGTTAATGGACCAAGTCGAGATATATTTGCTGGCAATCTCGTGGTATCGAAAGAATACCGAGATCGTGCCAGGATACAATCTTGGTTACAGAGCGTAACCGAATTCGCGCGAGGTCACAATCAAAGTGTGTGAATAATAATGTAAGCATAATATAACTGCCATTAGCACAGTTAAACAAAGAGCACATCAAACAAGCACAGGTACAATTGGTTATAATAATAATAATTGTTTTCATTAAACCAATCGTGTTCTCGTGAGTCACTACAAGTTAAACCATGACACTAGAGAATGAACAGTTATACATTTCTGCTGGAACATGTTTTAGGTTTTCATAATTTGTATACGGAAACAAGAAACGATAGCGAGAAAATCAGTCACCTGATACAAGCTTGTGACAAAACTATTGGATGCTAAATAGTGGTTGCTATAGCAACACTTTGCTCGTGATGCCAAGTTTAAATGACGGTCGAGATATTATGCAAAGTGATGATTTATTCCAAACTTCTTATGGAGTTGGACATCACTGGAGGAAAGGGTTTTATTTCCCTGATTCTGACACAATGGTATGATAATACTTTTCTACATAGTTCCTTATTTTGCTTTACAATTAAGGCCAAACTTAGTAAAAGACTTACATGGAGTTTAGAGCCCGAATCTGCAGCTAAGTGTGACGATCAGTATCAAACTTCGAATAGGCTTGCGTACGATCGGAAGGTCCCGAAGGATTATTTAAAGTGTCCACAAAATCCTCTACCACCTCATCACTGGGATGTTCACTACATAAATGATTTTCGTTCACGATTTCTCCGTGGAGGCTACAGAAGACCGCTAAGCCCAAGTCATCAGACAACTGAAACAAAAGAATCGTATGGTAGTGTTGATGGGCTCAGTGGACTGTGGCGTCCATTATCAATGCGACCTTTTGAAATTGAAGATCATCATAAGGATGGACCGTCCAAAGTAAATCACTTATGTTATAGCATTAAACTTCAAGAACATCATCCCGTCTACTAAAAACGCTAGTTTATCAGGCAGAATGTCATATCCCAAGGACAAAGAAATATTAAGATACATGGATCCATATCTTACGACATATATGAAAGACCATAGGGTTTGGAAACCTGAAGAACTAAAGGAAATATCTCAAAAGAATATACCGACATACTGGAATTCAACAGACTACTTGAAGTCAAACGTGTTTGGTTTAGACTCCAAGTATGTCAGTCTTACGTTATCTGTTTAGCCTAATTATGACCCTTTTTGTTGGAATCAGACTCCTGCCTTATTATTTTTTTGTTTTCCACGCGAATGTCAAAATGATGGTTGCTGAAACAATCCGGCCATCGATTTCTGTTCTATTTTTTAGCAGCTGTAAGCTCTTTAGAAGTGGACAAGTTTCTACCATCTAAATTTGTCATTCACCAAAATAAATCAGTCGAATGTTTTTCTGCACAAAACGGGAACTCATCTCAAAACACAGAAATTAATTTTACTACGCTTAAAAAGTAGAAACAATGTGGATGAAAATAGAAATTTCCCTTGAGTTTCCCGTGAGATTAGCATTTGTGTTGGTTAAGAGATATTCTAGAGAGAATATTGATGGAGAGGAAGACGCATTTGTGATAATTATAAGTATTTGAATTATTGTATGAACTGGCAATCCCCGAAACAGTGCAGTTTGTGACAATTAGAACCAGGTGATCAAAAACGAACGTGTGGTATTTGGAATTCGTAATCAGGCAGTCGACAAGTACAAAGAAATCATTAGTTCATACAAACACCATACCGTTACTCTGAATGAATCTGATACAAATCCAGGCGTTGACTAAGTTGTATATTTACTGACACGCTGTTGATACCAAACCACGGATATAATATGATGAGTAGCAACAAACTTGACTGGGTCTTATCATTATCAAAAATCTTATTCATCCATATTGTCATTAAATAAGTCTGACAACTGGAGCTATCGATCGACTGTACGATCGGAACCTCTGTCTTAAATAACAACATTATTGAATGTTTATAGTTTTAAAAACAAATTATTGTGTCTTCCTGTGAATCATGACTTTCGATCGAAAATAAAATAATTAAACTGAAATTAATCTGTATCTAATTTATAGATTTATCATCCGGATTCTTTCTTCACTTAATTTACTCAAAACAATAAATTTGACAACTAATAGACATTTGTTGTTGTTATTTATTTGTTACTAGACCAATAATAAAAGAAGGCATTGAAAACGAAAAACAACCTATGATTGACATACTGAAGTTTAATTGTCCGACAGAAAGCACTAGAGTACAACCGATTTCCCATCATGTAGCACATACGTAAGTTTCATCACTTTCTGAACATTTGGTTACTAACTTTTATACAACTAGCAAGACTATTTACTAGAAGATTGATTTTCAGCATCTTGCATTGACAACTGTCTACCAATAATTTTGAGTCTTTGGTGATGATTGCAGTAGTTCTCAAGGTTTTGACTCTACAATGGCACTTAACCATTAGACCACTGAGCCGGCATCCAACGGTGTTAATGTCTAACTTCAACCAATCCACGAAGTTGCGCCACCATATACCATTGTCTTCAGTGAGCTGATATCTCACAACAGACCTGGTTGTACTCCACTGGTAACGGCTTCCCACTAGAACTCCAGGAGTATTTCTTGAAGTCAGTCACTAGTGAGCAGATGATTATTATCAGAAGGGGTTTGTGGAGATTTTTAGAAATTTTCACGGATTGAAATCATGAGTCAGTTGAAGCTAGACCACCATTGAAAACCTGGAAGCACTGGACGTCCGTTTCGTCCTAGTATGGGACTCAGCAGTGCGCATCCACGATCCCGCACCACGCGGGGCTGTTGTGAGATACCAGCTCACTGAAGACAAGGGTATATGGTGGCGCAACTCCGTGGATTGGTTGAAGTTAGACATTAACACCGTTGGATGCCGGCTCAGTAGTCTAATGGTTCAGTGCTCGCGCGCGAAGCCAGTAGGTCCTGGGTTCGAGCCCCGCGTGGTGCGGGATCGTGGATGTGTCTACAATGGCAGTTTTAATGTTGGTGTAGAAAATTCTGACGTTGGTGTTGTGCGACTATTGTTTTGAGTTTCAGACAATCTTCAATTTTAGAAATGCCTCTATTGACTCGGGGGTTCGTGTCTTGACATCTGCATCCGACCCTCCTTGTCTGCTGATAATGCTATCCAGTTACGTGTAAGTGATAAATACATTTTTTGTTATATCCCAGTGATTAGAAAATTATATTTCTGACATTTTGTGACTTGATGTAATGAAACACGATTTTCCACTCATTGGAATATAACAAGAAATATATTTATTATTAACTTTCTAACCGAAACTCGATTTATTTGAAACTACCAAGCCCAACATTGACTTTTACAGTTACATGTAAGGTTCCAGGTATTCGTAAGCTTTGCCATTAAGTATAATTAATTTGATGGATTTTGTATTGTACTCCAAGATCTTGCTTTTTCCCTTGTGGATGTGGAAGCATATCAATACCGACGCTGTTGTTACGCTGCCCATCTTCACCTACACTTGTCGTTATCTGTGCGATGGCATGGCCAAGTTATCTGCAAAGTCCGCATCATCTAGTTAAGTTCAAGGTGTCCACTGTATTCTGTGCTGCTTCTGAAATGTGGAAGTTGTTGTGCCTTTGAATCCGGCTAGTTATCACGTGATTCATTCGCCAATCGAAATACGACTTATTCAATCTTAGCACTGTGCGAAACCAATGACTAGTATGAGCAGCCTAGCCTCCTTATTGGTCCTTTATTCTCCTATCCCATCCAATTGAGTCCAGAACGCCAATAACAGCTTCCACTATGCGAACCATTTATTCCAAACATACTTGGTTTATATACCACACAGACAGACAGACCGCATCACACCATAAAATAGGAAATAGCATTTACACAAGATCGAACCAGAAAGTGGCTATGAAAGTGGAAGACTGCAATCACTAAACTGAACACAGCTTAAAAAAGTAAATCGTATAATAATAATAATCTATGGGTCAAGATGAAGCTTATAGCAAAAGACTAATAGATATACATAATCTAGTTTCTGAACAGTTATATAATAAGAATATGCATATATATATAATATTAATCCATTAATAGTTCTCAGAAGTTATCTGTAATTTAATCTTCACTAGGACATAACAGAGGTCTTCATAACCGAGTTAACAGCTAGCACAAGGTGGATAGATGAGTATAGGAAACCTTGTTTGACACTATTATTTACTTGGGATTCATCTGCAAGCTGCCCTCCATCAACAAATTCGCAATTCAGCATCTCATAACTGCTTCGTGCAATTGTGACGGTGTTTCTATGTACACTATACTGTCGAAAAAGACTCCACAATATTTTCCAGTGCACACCAATTTATGCTTTCTTATAATCAAGGAAGTTGATGTTTAGTGATGAGTTCCACTCATTTAGTCGTTGATTAATTATTTGTAGGGTCACTGCTTAGTTGACATGTGATCAATCCATTCGAAATGCAGACTATTGATCTCAAAGTTTGGCGTCTACTGAACCTTTCACCCGATCGTGTAATCCCTTCTTTCCTCGTACATTTACTTGTTTGATATATTGATGAGGTGGTATCCCTGTTTCCAGTTTGATGGTACTTGTTTTTCCTCCGAAATCTTTCTGAAGAGAGCATAGATGGTATTTACACTTGACTGTATGTCTGAATTGAGTGTTTCAGCTGGTATGCTATCTGGTCCTGTTCCTTCGTCATTCGTGATTTATCTGATGTGCTTGTTAAATTTTTCTACCGTTGGACACTCTGGGCGACATGGCTCAGAACCGATCACATTGGCGTCGTTGCATAAATTCTTTGTCTTCACTTAAACCGTGAGATTAAAATTGCTTTATATCTTTCTACGAACTGATTCTTTCTCCCTGTGCTATACTCTTTGACACAATCTTTCTTTTATATATCACTACCATTGAAGTAACTACTTCCATGAATTTGGTTTTCATCTTGTTGTGCTAATGAGATGTGGCAACTTGGATCGATGCATATGTGTCTGGTCCTACGTTTTTGTTGACTGACCACGAAGTTGACTCCAACTGGATTTTAATTTTTGATGTATTGTAAAATATTGATTTTGAGAAGGAAAATATGCTATTAAAATCTTATTATGAACTGTGTGAGGCTTCGAAATGAGAGGTAACAAACATATGTTTTGTCATAGTTTAAAACTTCTCTGTTTTATTGGATGTCGATGTTTTCTGTACTTGATTTTATGATATTGAAGACTTGGTAAATATATATTATCCGAAGAAATACTGAAAAGTTAACTTTAATAACTTGATCACTAAGAATCACAATAATCTCAGCTGTCATCTCCAAAGTAAGTAATAGATGTCGGTTGATTTCCTATCTTTATCAATTCTATTATTTTTTGATGCGAAACTAAAACGTGATTCTGTATTTTATTAAGCTATATACCTTATTCGTTTAATCAATATATTCACCTGAAATACCTATACTGATATACATTTTTGTTCTCCTAAAGAGGTTTTGAAAGCACTTACCAGTCGGAATATAAACAGCCCAATAGTATATTAAGAAAAGCGGATAAAGTGTGCCCAACAGAAACACCATTCATTTTGCCAGGTATATTATTCTTGATAGTTGAGCTTCAATGTAATGTCAAAATTTTCTAAAATTATTATTATTATTATTATTATTATTATTATTATTTAGTACTGATTATCACTGAAAGTTAGCATGAGCTTTTTGTCTCATTCTGGCATAGTTTATGAACTAGAACAATTACATTTTGGTGAATGTGTCAGTGTTCTCATTGTTACGTACGTCCATAATTAAATGGAGTGTGACCAATCAAATTGTTCTTTAAACAGCCACCACTCTTACGCATTTGGATTTTAGCAAGTTCCGTACTTCGTTAGTTATCTATTAATACCACAATCTGTTCATAATTTCAAATTTTACTCAAAATTTATTCGTTTGGTGCATCTGCTGGTACTATTCTTAGTAGATGAAGTCAAATTGTAATGGTTTTGACTGGAGCTTCTTTCAGCTTCTAGCTTGATAGTGTTACGCGTAGTGTTTCGACTGGAAAACTATAGGGAAAATAAACTCCGCACAAACTAGCATTGACATAAAAGAAATATTATATCAGGTGTGTAATTAACAATTCATGAGAAAATTTTCTACCTATTTATCTGGTTTTCCATATACAGGTTAGGTACTTCCTTTAAATATTGCTATTTTTAGTGGGTGTAACCTGTTCATAACTAATTGCCTGCCAATAACTACCACATAATTCATAGTTATAATTCCAGTAATAGGAATTACTGTTTACTGAGTAAGTTGAATATTGTCCAAAGAAGCAATGTTTTTCGAGAGTTTGATAGTATTTCAATATGAGGTATTACATGTACATTTAAATCCGTAATAATGGTCGTACATGCTTGCAAGTTAAAATAACCACACGACATATTTCTCATCTATTTTGATGCAACTCAGTAAGAAGGCGGAGGATTATTGTGCCCTGTGTGAAAACTAGTAGTCCTATTCGTTTGTCGGAGGTTATTTATATAAAACAAAAGGTTCAAACTTACAACTTATTGTTTTAATTTCGTATGCTTCAACCAATAATATAATTCCTTGAAAAAGTTTGGACCAGATTCCCAGGCGAAACGTTGTATTTACTTCAAATTCACTCTCTGAGATTCTGAAAATACATTCTTCCTCCTTAATGTCTCACGTCAACTCGGTGCCCAAATACTGTGAAACTATTCGATCAAATTTAGACGAAAGTTCTTATACAATTATTTAACAGCATGGGACAGATTTATATCAGCTATTTAATTTTTAATCATATTTTAAAAATAATTTATTATTATTATTCTTTTCCCTTATCAAGATCCTGGAACTGTCCTAGCTCATGCTGTACCAAATATGTATAAAACGGAATATTCTGTTATAGGTGAATATAAAAAAACAATACTGTAAAAGTTAACTGGTAAGTAGTAGAAGGAGCTAATTCACTCAGTTCTACATTGTATGTCCACGTACATACACACACACTGACGTACTTATTATCAAGTTCGATTAAACGGATGTAAAAATTATAAGTTTGTGAAATCAAACTATAATGTAATACCTTTCAAACGAATTATAATTTAGAATATCAAAATAGATTTATTTAAAATATTACAAAGGATAATTTTTCTCTCAATACTTTCTATTTTAATGAAATTACCATAATAAATGCTTTTGTTTACTTGTGCTATAGTTTAAGATGATACATATATGGCTGGTGTCAAAAACCTCAGCAAAATCACAAGTATAAATTAATATATCATGTTTACCAGGTGGCTGTCGGGACTCATTAGGTAAGTGGATAACGCGATGGCGTTTGAAGCGAACGGTACTGGGTTCGAGTCCCGGAGTGAACTTCAACTCGGATGCAGGTACATCCAGCTAATGAGTCCTGAATAGGGGAAACGTGCGTCTTGGATTACGCTGCTAGCCACTATCCAGCTTTGTTTAAAGAACTTGTTACTTCAGACTATATCGAGGCAATCCGCACAGTATGCACATATGCCAACATGAGCCTGATCAATTGCAGTCCTAAATAGCAATGGGAAGATACAAGTAAAACAGCACCAAATGAATTTACGCTTAGTTTGTTTCGTTTGTTTTACATAATCAAATATGCTATTACATAAACCCATAAGTCAGTAGATTGAATATTAAGTATGGAATTGGAATTCATCTTGACAGTATACTCCATAGTTTATTATTACAGGTATTTTAAATGAAGTGCGTATGACATAAACAATCGGAGTTTGTTTCCGTCGATGGCTCTTTTTAAGCTCTATTGAGACCAACTGCATTTAGGAGAGTCTTTGTCAATTTCATGTGATTGCAGGTTACGAAGAGAAATTATTTCATTACAGTTTTTTTCATTTGCCTGACACATCCGCACTTCGAGCAGAAATAAGTAGTAAAATAACGGTGCTTCTTTCAAATTCGTCAGTTTTATTCTCTCACTCACCCACAAACAAGAAACCAAAAAATGACATGAACAGGAAAGGAAATTCAATCTGAATAGCATCATTCTGTACCTATGGTAATCAATTGCGGTCACTTAGTAGAGATATCGACATCACAAGTGTTTAAGTTCATTTCCATAAAAATAGTCTATACATTATTAATCCATGATAAAATCTGATCTTACCTTTTTACACATTAGACCAGATACTTACGAATTAGAAAGGAGTAATATGTGTGATTATTTTTTCAGAAAAATGTATATTCCTCCTACTTAGAAATTTAAGCATAGTGTGATTATATGAAGATCACTGTGAATCGAAGATTGAAAGTTGGTTGAAGTATCTTGGAAATAGCTTAAATACAATCTACGCCACTTAATAATAGTTGGTAGTATACATGAAAATAAATTGAACGACCAGGTATACTAGTTAGTATGTTTGGGTTGAAAATCATGTCGGCGTTTTAATAGTCATGAGAGCTTTTGCAACATAGAAAATACACGGAAGATGAAACGATAGGACACCAACTCTTTAATTGATTTCAATTAATGAGCGCTAAATCTGATAGTTATATTTTAGCATCATTCTTAATGCGCCTTTTGAGTATAAGAACTATACTACTTAATAGTGACTAGTAGCTCCAGTTGTATTTTATTTTTCAATTCGACTTTCAGCATCACAACGGCTGATTTGCCCAGCTGGTTTATACCTCTTTTCCGAGGTTTACTTAGACTTTTCTCTTTGTTATAGTAATACCATCCTTTTTTCTCACTTAGTTTCCATTATGTGCAAGACTTTTTGAAACTATATTCTTTTTAAAATGATGACCTAAATTGTTGTTTGACACGGTTAAGTGCAGTTTTATGACTGAGATTAAGTGCTATAATTCTACTAATGAAGTAGCTGATGTCCAGACAATACGATCCGATAGTTGCAAATACTTAGTACATATGTAACTTTCCATAATAGTATCAAATTATTGAACAAATATCGTCATATGTTTTCGCATGATTTACCTGTATAAGCCGTAAAACCTAGTGATCATTAATCAGCTATATGTGGCTGAGACTATCCATCACATAGATATTGAACATTTAGTATACTATTAACATCCACAATAGAAGAAAACAATAAGTTCACCAGTAGTAAATTATAAAACGGATATTATTATATTTATGACCGAAACTTCTGAACCTTAACAGCGACAGCTCGTTATTCACCATCATGTATCGTTAGCAAAAAGGTCACCTTTTGAATTGAAGTATTAAAATACTATGAAGCAACAATGAAAGTGGATTTTTGTGCTTCTGATGAGTTACACGTTGACTCAGAGGTATAAATTAGACAGAATATATCACATCACATATATATCATAGGCCTACTGACTGACAGATTGTTAAGGACGTATTGATTGATGACTAGTAGTTAGTTCAAACATTTGTTCATATTTCTACATATATATTTATATACGACTATCTATGTATACATGCCTTTATTCATATATATAATCGTCATCTGAGCAACAATCAAATCACATTTGACGGAGAAGATTTGGAAGGTGTAAAAACCTTCACATATCTGGGCATCATCATTGATGGAGACGGTAGATCTAATGAAGACGTGTATGTGCGGATCGACAAAGCAAGAGCAGCATATCTAAAACTGAAAAACATCTGGAACTCAAAACAACTGTCAGAATTTTCAGTACAAATGTCAAGACAGTTCTACTGAATGGGGCGGAAACTTGGAGAACTACTACAACCATCATCCAGAAGATACAAGTGTTTATTAACAGTTGTCTATGCAAAATACTTCGGATCCGTTGATCAGACACTATCAGCAACAACCTACTATGGGAGAGAACAAACCAGATTCCAGTGGAGGAAAAAGTGCTGGAAGTGGATAGGACACACATTGAGGAAATCACCCAACTGTGTCACAAGGCAAGCCTTCACTTGGAATCCTCAAGGTCGAAGGAGAAGTGGAAGACCAAAGAACACATTACACCAAGAAATGAAGACAAACATGTGAAGAATGAATGACAATTGCATAAAACTAGAAAGGAAGGCTCAGGACAGAGTGAGTGGGTTTGAGAATAGTGGTCGGCGACCTATGCTCCATTGGGGGAGGTGACAGGCATAAGTAAGTAAGCAAGTAGTGAATGTATTGCAGTAACTTTCCGCTCTTTTGAATGGTGTCCGTACACAACTGTTCTTGTGACTGTGAGGTTGTTTCTGCTTTGATCCGGTATTTAATCAGCGTGACTTCTTGTACACTTCTAATTCAAACGTTTCTGTATTTGTTCCGTTTATTAATACAATCATGTATGGAATTTCGTTTTATGGTTATTCTTCCATTGTGTTATCAAAGATGTAGTTAATTAATTTACGAATAAATTGAATGAAACAAAACAATAAAATATCAATAACTTAGTAATATACTTCTACATATTTCAGTTACCGTCTGAAGTCATATTTTCTAAATAATGTGGTTTACTTATTTGTTTTCAATGCGACGTACATGAACTTAAAATTTGTTTTGTGATCAGTATCCAACGAATCTACATCTATGCCGGCCCAATGGTCTAGAGGTTAAGCGTTCACACGCGAGACCGAGGGTCCTGGGCTAGAATCTTGCGTTTGGGATCGTGAATGCCCAATGCTGAGGAGTCCCATACTAGGACGAAACAGAAATCCAGTGCTCCCAGGTTTTCGATGGTGGTCTAACATTGATCAATTCATGATCTCAATCAAAAACTCAACAATCTCCATAACCCCATACTGATATCTACATGTATATATCAATCAATCAATCAATAAAAACCATTGCAATGTACTGTGTTACAATCTATTGAAAAAATGAATATCTAGATTACGTAATATGAATGATAAAAATAAGATTGTGTATGCAAATAGAAAGCCTTGTAAAATAATAAGTTTACAAAGCTTTCTATTTACATACACACGATTTCTTATTGTTATTATTCATGTTACATCTACTATTACAATCTATCTATAACATCATCATATTTATTCTTTGTTCATATATCCTCACGGAACTAGTACATTGACAAAAATTTTTCACATATTTATATACGATTGTACAGCTTGATAATAAATATCAAATAAGCTAAATATATCCTGTTTTTAGACTAACATTCAGCCAAATGTAATAGTTTTAGTATTTCAAATGGATGGCTAGAAAAATAGATTAAGGTTACCATCAAAGTCAAACGACCAGATCTCTGATTCCTTTCTAAACGTTTTAATCGACCGAACAATAATGCTCAACTACTATTACCACATTTGAGCTTTCAATGGTCAACTGTTGTTGTTGTTGTCGTCGTCACTGAAACTGCTCGTGAAAATGTATGAATCACTGATGTACATCTGTTCTCATTTTGTCACATTAGCGTTCTGTCTAAGATTCTACGCTTATTCTAGTTTAAATCATGATTAATTAGGTTGAACGAACAACTGACTGATTAATTGTATTTAATGCTTTAATAATAGTTTCAGTTGGACATGTTCAGTCATATATGACCCTGACTTGTGATCTGAAAAATTTATCATACATAACTTGTTAAATATCAGAAAAAAACTGAAATTTTATATTAATTTAATCAGATCGATCAAACAGTTATGTGTTAGGTAAAATGATGAAAACAAACTAGAATAATGGTTTGTAACATTGTCTATTCTCAACAGATTCTTTAAATATGAGCGGGTCACATTAGTACTAGGAGATTGTCACATATATAGCTACCGTCAGAATAAGAATTCTTCAATATTTTTAATACTCTCTGGGTTTAAATAATTGAATTTAATTGGTACATGCCTTAAACTTGGGTTTCATTCTATTTGGCATTCATTTAATGGATATATTCATTTATATATGAAGAAAATTGTCTTCATCCAATCTAAATCAT